ACTACGAGAGAAAGAAAACCCATAAGTGATACATAAAACTTCCAGTTCACATGAAAAAACTGCTTATGAACTACAAGGTGAAATTGTGAATCACAGAACCTTCTTGGTTTCGACACAGTAAATTTAGTCTTTGATGAAAATTTTCCAATTTTGCATTGATCTTGGCATGAGTCATAAGAGCCCTATAACACTTCAGCAAATTCAAACGGTGAAAATAAATTCGAGAAAACCTCAAGAAACCACAGACACACATGCGCGCGCACAGAGAATTAACCTCACAGCAATACACAATTCTCAAACTCAAACTGAAACTTTTTATGTAACTATGAACTTCATATTATACATCTCGTTCTTCTTCTAATCACACAGTAACTAAACTGAGTAAAGCATAAATGATTCCAAAAAAAGGAAAGGAACCACCCATATCTATGCTTGTAAGCAAAAGTCTCCTTCTCCCTCAAACCCAGAAAAAAATCTGCCCTAGAAGCCTCAAATTTCTTATCCATCTTCATCTGCGCGGAAAAACTCTCAATTAATCCGCATTACTCAAAGCCCTAATTGAACTCCCGCATAAAAAATCAAAATTAACATAAACGACTCCAAATTGGACAAAAAAACTGAACCTTTTTACCTTATAAATGACTTCGTGCAAATATTTCATCCTATCTTCAAGAAACTGTCGCTCTCTCCCCACGTTCTTGGATAATTTTACGAGTGCTTTAAAAATTTCATCCCATTTTGCTCGCGGCCGCGAATTTTTCCGGGGGATTTGCGTTTTCCCATTGCAATAACTTACAGAAACGCAGACAAAATATATTTAGTGGTTAAAAAAAAAACAATTATAGAAACCAGGCGCTAACCAGAAGAGGAGCTCGTGAGGTTTCGGCTTCACATAGACGAAGAGAGAGTGAAGGAGAGATCTTTGACCTAAACGGTCGAATTCTTTTTATTAAAAGTATCAGCCCAACTGCTCGAGGAGGTTGCGTTGGCTCATGGACTAGACATTTTGCTGTTTCGGCCCAATTTGGATTTGGCCCATTTGATACAAAATAGCTCTTTTACAATTATCCAACACCATAATCGAGTGACTGACCAAAAATGACTGCGTGAAGAGCAGGGAGAATGGGTTCAACGAACAGCTCGGTTGTAATTTATATACCTTGTTTTCTCCATGGCCATCGCGGTTGCATGTCTTAATCCGGGTCGTGGACTCGATTTGATTAAATAGTGAAGAGTCTATATTTTTCTAAATGAATGTTTATTTTTACGTTTATTAATAGTTTATTAAATAAAATAAACATAAACTTAAAAAAGAAGTAGTGCAATCCCCTCTATATATAATTTCAGAATGCGCTGAGCTTACGTGGCAAGCTCTCATGCTTCGGATTCTTATTTGACAAAAAATCATGTTTTGAAGTTAGGCTTGGGTATAAATTAATATTTTCTATTTCCTTCTTTACTTCTACAAAGGATGGTTACATGAACAAGTCTTCTGAGAACACCCAAATCGATATTTAAGTGATAAGTATCGTGAAGAGTCCTCCTAATGCTTACAATTCTGTTTTTTATTTTTATTTTTTATTATTATTTTTTTTTTGTTTAAAGAATTCTTATAAAAAATTACGTTGCCAAGCCTAATTATCATTTGTGATCTATACTTATATAATAAGAATTAACATTTACTATAATTAGTTATCAAATTATTCAGACATTTTTCAAAAATACTAATTTTGGAATTTTTCGGACAGCCCATGCATAGCCAAAATATTTTGGCGTTGGTTACATAAACTTAAAAATCGGAACACAATCTCATATTTTAATTCAAACTGTTTATTTGAAATTTGATTAATATATGTCAGCCCATGCATAGCCAAAATATTTTGGCGTTGGTTACATAACTTAAAAATTAGAACACGATCTCATATTTTAATTCAAAATGTTTATTTGAAATTCGATTATTATACGTTACAATATCTTATTCAATACACATCTATTACCATTAAAGCTCTAACAAATATTGAATACCAATTTAAATAACAAATTATTTAGACATTTTTTTTACATTTTTGATCTATATATACATGCACATATACGTAATAAATGTTAAAAAACATATACATATATAATAGATGTTATACTTATATAATAAGAATTAACATTTACTATAATTAGTTATCAAATTATTCAGACAACATTTCAAAAATACTAATTTTGGAATTTTTCGGACAGCCCATGCATAGCCAAAATATTTTGGCGTTGGTTACATAAACTTAAAAATCGGAACACAATCTCATATTTTAATTCAAACTGTTTATTTGAAATTTGATTAATATATGTCAGTCCATGCATAGCCAAAATATTTTGGCGTTGGTTACATAACTTAAAAATTGGAACACGATCTCATATTTTAATTCAAAATATTTATTTGAAATTTGATTATTATACGTTACAATATCTGATTCAATACACATCTATTACCATTAAAGCTCTAACAAATATTGAATACCAATTTAAATAACAAATTATTTAGACATTTTTTTTACATTTTCGATCTATATATACATACACATATACGTAATAAATGTTAAAAAAACATATACATATATAATAGATGTTAAATTTAAATATTTTTAGACATATTTTCTTTACAAGATGTTGTAGGTGGCTTCACACCTTTAAAAATTAATATAGAAAATTTTGGATATTTTTACATATATTAATATAATAATTTAGGTATTTTTTAATATTTTAAACATGCAATTTTATATTCTATTATACAAGATAATTTATTTGACCCCACATCTTTGATTTATAATTATTATTTAATATTATTTATACTCTACTTTAATTTATACTTATTCTTTTTTTCCTCTTTTTAAAGAGGATCAATATTAATTCTCACTTCCTCCATTGAGTGACTCAAACTCGATTCATATTTATAATTACTATTTAATATTATTTTCCGTGCATTGCACGGGCTACACACTAGTTAGTATAACATGACGCAAGGGATCAATTTTTGCTTAAAGAACCCTTTAAGCATTGGATTTTTTTTTCTATAATTTTTTATAATGAAAAAAGTTAAAAGTGATTACAATTTCGCCATATGTTCAATATAACGATTTAGTTCATACCGTAAAGTAATAGAAATTGACACGTATTCTTTTAAAATTGATATTTATTTCAAATCTAATTGGTATGTTGTCAATCTAATAAAAATAAATAATTATTTATCTAAATTCTAAAATTACATATAAAGTTAAAAAAACTGTGAAGCATGACTGATACGATACTTGATGTATTAGGCATCTAACTAATTAAGTAGAAAAAATTAATCTATTTTGTTTAATATTAAATAAACATGTTCTACACTTATGCATATACATATCACCATATTATTTTTATTTATTTAAGATATATACTTTTGTACTTATGTAATAGTAAATAATATCGATATTTTTATATGATATAAGTAACAAAATTCAACATGGGTTGACATTTTCATTTAATGTACGCGTGTTTAATTATTATGACAAAAAAAAATTTAATTTGACAATTTAATTAAAATCCAAAGTAATGTTTTATATAAAATTAAATTATTTTAGTTTTAAAAAAATAAAAAATAAATAATATTTTTAACAAAAATTTTCTAATTCAACACTCGTATAATACATGGGTATTCTACTAATATTAATTAAAAGGATAGTAAGTATGCAAAATGTTTTAAGAACTATAGTTTGTATATATATTATCCAAAAAGAAGGATGATATTTTCACTCAAGTATTATAGGCTGCCCATGACATAGGGTCGGACTTTCAATCCCGGTTTATAATTATATTAAACATTCACATGTCTTGCACTTTAATTTCGCATGAATAATCAATAAAATCTATATGGTCGGGTCTGAGCGAGATTTTTCACTCCACTTTAATGTTCCATTTAGTACTTCATTCTATTGGATTAATGACATTGTAATTGGTGATATCATATTTGTACACGTGTCATTCATCCAATAGAGTGGAACACGAAATATAACACGAAAGTGGTACTGAAAATCTAAATCGGGGTTGGGTTACCGCATATTTTTTACCCGTTCATATAACTTTTTTTATTTTCTTTTTATTTATATTTTTCTATCATATTTGATTTATTCATCCGCTCATGCTAGAACTGTAAACTGATTAGTCGACAAAAGTGTGTATTTTATATATTTATTAGCATATTTTTATATGCTTAATTTTATCACACTTATATGTTTTTTGACTTATTTATTTATTAGATGAATTCAAGTGCTATGATATTTTTATGATTTAATTTCAGAATTTTAGAGTACTTTGTGGAACCGAAGCATTAGACGGAGTATCTGTTAATTTGGTCTACGGATGAACCTTAATTGAGGACCAATTTGTATGGAGCTTATCAAATTAGGAGAGATTACTTTGATTTGAGGAAAGGAATAATTGAAGCTTGGACACATATTTAATTATTGGGCCTGGGAATGGATTACAAAAAAGAGATAATTACCCGTCAGACGGTTCCTTTTGATTTTATTTCCCATAAAACGAGTCATTGTTTTTTATTCCCCTAAACTATTCCTGTAGATTTTTATTCCATATTAGATCACTAAATATATCAACCGCACCAATTAATCATTCTTATCACTCCTCATTTCTTTTGAATGTTCCTTCACTCTTTCGACAATCTCTAAAATTTCCATCCACTATTTCTCTTCCAAAATCCAAGATCCTAAAAAACTCAAATCCAAAGGATAAACTAAGCAAGCCGAACAAGATCTGCCGCAACCACATCTCTGCGAACAAGACAGATCTTGCCTTCAATCAGAATCTACCGTTGGATCTCTATAGGGTTTGGTCGCCCCCTCGCATCTCCACCAAAGAGTCACCTTTAGCAGTCGATCTCCACCACGAGGCACAAAAAGAGTCCGAGATTCAGATTCCCTGTGCCTCGCGTGCCGGCACATGTTGCGTTCGACCCTGAGGGTTCGGATAAGAAGCCCGCGTGGTCCAAAGATAACAATTTGTAGGTTTATTTGTAGTTTAATTTTATGGAGAATTTTGTATAAAAAATTATGGGTTTACTTGTAGTTTAGTTTTATTTATGAATGTTTGTATATCTGGTTTGAATATTGCCATTTCTATTGATTATATGAATGTATTTTTTTTTGTTTATTTTGTGGTTTTGTTGTTTTTTGATGGGTTTATATATATATATTAATTTTTTTTCATAGTTATAGGTATATGAATGGTTTTTATTTTGTTTATTTGTGGTTCCATAATTTTTGTGTTCCTTTAATTTGTGGTATCGTGAAGGATTGCAGCTGGAATACTTGAACATATAAAAAAAATTCTCTCCGGTGAGAGCGACCCAAATTCTCTCCGGTGAGAGCAATCTTCTGGTGACTATTTCCGACTTCATTGTCCTTCTTTCGATCCTCACTTCTTCTTGGTAGCTATAGTTCGCAATATCTCTACTCTTGCAGTCCTACTGTATCCAGTTAGGGTTACTCATGGAGGCCCATAATAGCATCGGACAAGATGAAGAGTTAGCTCAAAAACTTCAAAGTGTGTCCTTATCAGCTAAGGAAAATGAATTCATTGACCTCGGTAAGGATGACATAAAGCTAAGTGCGGAAGAGTGCCAACGTAGTTTGTTCGGAAAATTGGTTGGCGATAGAAAGACCAGTTGGATTGGGGTTAAGCGGGCGATGGGACACATTTGGAGGCTCAATCAACCTATGGAGGTGAAGGAATTGGGACCAAACTATTACCAGTTCATCTTTCAGAGCAAAGAAGACAAAGATAAAGTTGCCAAAGGTATCAATTGGACATATGAAAACCAATATCTTATATTGTCAGAATGGAAAAGAGGCCTTTCAATCAATCACCCTACCTTTCAAGAACTCTCGTTATGGGTCCAAGCTTTCAATGTTCCTCTGGATTGGCTCAGCACGGAAGTTGGTCTGAAAATTGGCAAGGTGTTCAAACAAGTTCAGAATGTAGTCATTGTGGGTGCAGGTAGTCATGGAGGCAGAATAATGAGGCTATTGGTTTCCGTTGATTTGAAAGAACCCTTGCCTCGGTGTGCGAATCTTAGACTTGATGATCAAACAGTCAATGTTGGATTCAAGTATGAGAAACTGGTAAATCACTGTCACTAC